CATGTTATTATGGAGGCTGAGAAGTCCCCTGATCTATAGTCTGCAAGCTGGAGACCCAGGAAAACTGGTGTTGAGGTTCTAGTCCAAACCTGAAGGCCTGAGAGCCAGCAGAGTCAATGGTGTAAGTCCCAGTTTGAGTCTGAAGAACCAGGAGCATCAATGTCCAAGGGCAGGACAAGATGGATGTCCCAGACTAGCTTCTGACTACTTACAGGCATCTCAAGTAGGTGTTCATGCATTAGTGGGTCCTCCATGCTGCATATTTGTAAATGACGGTCAAGAGGAAATTTATCAAAAAATATTCATAACAGTGGCTCATGCCTGAGAAGCAGCTATTAGCTTACAGCCCTGCAGAAAAAGATTGGCTTGACTCTCTTATTAGTGGTTTCCTCTGCTTACTAGAAGGTTTAGGGGATTCTATAAAGGACTCAGCTTCTTTATTTTGGTTCTAATGGTCATGTTTTCGTCTCTTAAGTGTGTCATCCCCCTTATGGGACAATTGTGCTGCTGCTGCCGAAAGCACTGGGCCTCCTTGGTCATCTCACCTACCGCCTTGACTCCTCCTGAATCTCACAGAGGTCGGAAGCAACAACTGGACCCATCTCGAGGACCTTGGTGTGACAAATGACAGTTGTTCTATGAGAAAGACATCTGCTCTCTCTCTCTTTTTTTTGTGAGGAAGATCAGCCCTGAGCTAACATCCATGCCTATCTTCCTCCACTTTATGTGGGACGCCACCGCATGGCCTGACAAGCGGTGCATCAGCGCGCGCCCAGGATCCAAACCCGGGCCACCAGCATCGGAGCGCGTGCACTTAACCGCTAAGCCATGGGGCCAGCCCCCTGCTCTTTCTCTTGAACAAAACGAGGAACTAAGAATTGCAGAACTCTAGGCATATGACTCTGTCCAAACCCCTGCACTGAGAGACCTGAGCAAACTCTCACATGGCCTCTAGCGACTTAAGGCCACGAAAATGCCTGCCTAGAGAGTTTACTAGCCAACACCTGAGATAGGCCCCTGACCTCCCTTTCTCAGAGCATTTACTTAAAAGGGCTTCTGATTCTGCATCTTTCCTCAGTCCCTTTGAGATGTTTATGTATCCCCTGAAACTCAGGAGTGTCTTTCTCAAGGATCTGAAAGCCATTCTTTTGAAATGTCATCTTCAGGAAGGATAGGGCCTCTGTCTCCCAGTCTCTGTGGGAGGATGGAATCCTGATTTTGAGAACTGCTAGCCAGCAGAAAGCTCGCCTGATCACGTCTACACTGGCCACCTTGGTGATTGTTCACTTCTCTGCTCTGCTTGAGTCCTGCTTGCTCCTCCTCACTTCTCCTCCCTTTAAAATGCCCAGTCAGCTCTGTGCAACTTGGAACAGAGCTCAGCTCTTTCCCCTGCTGTCTGTAGTTAGCGAACAAAGTCTGTTTTCACCGCTATAACTAACGTCCAGCTTTGTTTATCTTTGACACCGGGTAGGCTATATATCTATTTATTGAGTCTCATCAGATGATGACTCTGCTCAATTTTGCCTATTTTCTCTCTTTTTTTTTTTTTGTGAGGGAGACCAGCCCTGAGATAACATCCGATGCCAATCCTCCTCTTTTTGCCGAGGAAGACTGGCCCTGGGCTAGCATCCGTGCCCATCTTCCTCTACTTTATATGGGACACTGCTGCAGTATGGCTTGATGAGTGGTGCGTCGGTGTGCGCCCCGGATCCGAACCAGCGAACACTTGGACCACCTAAGCGGAGCGTGTGCACTCCTGCTGTGCCACCGGGCTGGCCCATTTTTTCTTAAGTTTTTACTCCAAATATATATACATTTTACTCTTAAATCTGATTTTTACTTCATCATCTGATGAAATAATAAATATATGCAAAGTGTATGAATGAATGACTATTCATCTATTTTGCCTATTTTTCTATTTGATTGTATGTCATATTCTTAACTATTTGTAGGGGATTTTTTTTTGTTGTAAGGAAGATTGGCTCTGAGCTAACATCTGTTGCCAATCTTCCTCTACTTTGTATGTGAGACGCTGCCACAGCATGGCTTGACGAGCTGTGTGTAGGTCCAGGCCCAGGATCTGAACCCGCCAACCCCAGGCTACTGAAGTGGAGCAGGAAAACTTAACCACTATACCACAGGGCAGACCCCTTGTAGGAGATTTTGTGTATTCCCAATACTGTTTACTTTTATTGACACAGGTGATATATATTGCTGTAGAAAAATCAAAAAATTAAACTAAACCAGAGTTCAAAAACAAAGTGTGGGGGGAAGTACTTATAATCTCATTCCCTAGAAATGATGCATTTGAGCTGCAAATGGAAAACAAAATAAAGACAAGGATTCTTTGAAATAAATGAGCCAGTCATGATGAAGCCGCTTGTCATTAGAACATTTTTGAAAAACACTGGTCTTTTGAACATTGCTGACCATCATGTAAAGTAGATTTCTCCAAATATGCATCTTGTCCTGGGTCAGACCCATTTCTGTTAAAATCATTTAGATTTTATTGGGAATTGGAAGCTCGAATGGAGGATTATTAAATTTATCTCAAACAGTATCTTCTTACTTTCTTACTCATCCTCATGTTCAATAGTTTCTGAAAGTTTAGCATTTCCCTTTCTTCATTATTTTCCCCACAGGAGAAGAAGAGTCTTTAAAGCCCAGGGCCTGGCACAGGATGGACACTCAAGAAAGTTTAGTGAAGGGGGGGAGGGAAGGAGGGAGGGAAGGAGGGAGGGAAGGAGGGAGGGAAGGAGGGAGGAGGGAGGGATAGAGGAAGGGAAGGAGGGAGCAGTGAGGGATGCAGGAGGGAGGGAGGAGGGATGAAGCAGGGAGAGAGAAGGGAGGGAGGGAAGGAGGGAGGAGTGAGGGATGAAAAAGGGAGGGAGAAGAGAGGGAGAAAGGAAGGGATGAAGGAGGGAAGAGGTGGGGAGGGAGGAAAGGCTGAGGGAGGGAGGAAGGAAGGGATGAAGGAGGGAGGGGGACGGATAAAGGAGGGAGAGAGGGAAGGAGGGGGGAGGGAGGAAGGAGGGAAAAAGGGAAAAGTGATCTTTAGTTAACTCTGAATTTGACGACAATCTGCTTTAACAATGTCATTGTTGGATAGTTGATCATTTTAGTAGCTAGAATACTGTTTTTCTAGTCAACCTTATAACTGCTCCATATAATTTCGATCCACTTCCACAGGCACTTTTCTTCTTTTTTTGATCATTGCACTAGTTGGGCTTTTTAGATGGCATATATATATATATTTTTTTTTTTTAAATTTTTAGCCTAAATTTAAAATATGTATTTTAAAATAAATACAATATTTAATGGGAGTAAATATAATATACAAATATTTAATTTATATTCATCAACATAAATCATCCAAATTATGATATTTAACACCCAAATAGATGTACATAAAAATGTGTATCAAAAATAGAAATATTAGTAAATACAAATAGCAGAGAATTGTGCTCTAGGTTTCTAGACAAATTTGGTGGAAATAAATGGTGGAAAAAAATTTCATATATAAAAGTGAATAACATATAATTTATCGCTGTTTTAAATGAATAAGGGCCGGCCCCATGGCTTAGCGGTTAAGTGCTCGCACTCCGCTACTGGCGGCCCAGGTTCAGATCCCGGGCGCGCACCGATGCACCGCTTCTCTGGCCATACTGAGGCCGAGTGCCACATATAGCAACTAGAAGGATGTGCAACTATGACATACAACTATCTACTGGGGCTTTGGGGAAAAAATAAATAAATAAAATTATAAAAAAAAGAAAAATAAAATAAAATAAATGCATAAAATGTAAAAGTTTCCTGGTAAGTATGTTAATTTTCTGGCTAAAAATTTTTTTTCAGAAAATGTTTGCTATTTGATCAAATTTTATTTGTTAAAAGTCAAATATATCGATAAATAAAATTTGTATTACTTACCTAATTGCTCTTAAAACTATTTTTTAAATCACACAAACATGTTTGTGTAATAAAACAAAACTTGCCCTTTTATCCTGGAGTACTGTGGATTACAGCTATAAAAAATTAAAAGAACTTGTCAACTTCCCTCAAGACTGATCAATGACCTTGAGAAGGAATTGCAAGGGAGAGATCCTTTTATTCATTGCACCTGCGCCCTCACGTGCATAACTCCTGCTGGTGCAGGGTAGGATCCTGTTGTTATTTACTATTTTTTTTGTGTGTGTGTGAGGAGGACTAACCCTGAGCTAACATCCAACGCCAATCCTCCCCTTTTTTCTTGAGGAAGAGTGGCCCTGAGCTAACATCCGTGCCCTGCTTCCTCTACTTTATATGGGATGCCGCCACAGCATGGCTTACCAAGCGATGCGTCAGTGCGTGCCTGGGATCTGAACCTTTGAACCCCGGGCGGCCAAAGCGGAGCACACGCACTTAACTGCTTGCGCCACCAGGCTGGCCCCTACGATTTTTATATTTTGTAAACATAAACTTTTTGCAATTAATTTTTGTTTTTTTAAGTATTGCGTTCAAATATTAACCTTGATCACAGAATTTTTGGCACCCCCTGAAATATTGCTTCCGGGTGAGAGCCTCACTTGCCTCACCCTAATCTTGATACAAATTTTAAAAACCCTTTTAATTTAATTAGAAAAGGCCACCACCTCGAAAGATAAGTGAAGAGCGTGAAAAGGCAATTTAACAAAGAATACATATGTATATAATAAACACTGAAAAAAAGATGTGTAAGTGCAATAGTACTCAAAAATGCTCCTGTGATGGTTTAGTTGTAGAGGTTGGTATAAATTATTAAATCTCTACTAACGGACCAAAAAAAGTCCTATCTAGTCCTTCCTGGATTAAGAGGGTCTTTGTTTCTAAGAATTGATGTAATTAGTAGAAGTGAAACATTAAAATCATCAGTAGTGATTAAATAAATGGGAGGGGCCATCGAGCTGATCACATAAAAGCAGCCTGCTGGCCGGTTGTTTGTCTCCCGGTCGAATGCTCAGACCTCAGGACTCTCTTCCGACATGGCCCAAGACGTCTCTCCTAACAGTAAGTGCCCGACCCACCCGACTTCGGGTTTAGTTTCACCGGTTTGGGGAGGAAATTGGGCTGGAAACCTAGTGTGCTCGTCAGAAGTTTTGGGAGTTCCAGTTTCCAAACGTTTCAATAACTGCACTAGGGTTCAGGAAAGCCAATTTCTCTCATGTGATATGAAAATATGCTGTTTTCTGTGCATTTGAGCCTTGGGAATTTCAGAAAGATGCAGACATTCAAGAACTAAACAAGACAAATTCTTGCTTTGAGAAGGAAGATGGGAGAAAAGAGCAGATGGGAAGGAGAGGGAGAGAGATGCGCTAAAAGAAAGGGTGGGAGGCATCCAAGAGTTCGGAGACCACAATGTGCTTGGAATCAAAGCAGCTTCTAGATTTCTCTCTCCAGACTGAGCTTTTCTCCTGAGTCTCAGATCTGTCCATCCAACTGCCTGCTTGTCTCCAACCCAGCACGTTCCAGTGTTCACACCCAAACTCTTCCTCCCCTGCTTTCCCTCGCTCACATTTGCCTGTTGCTTATGCCAAACATCTAGGAAACACCCTTGACCCCAGTCTTTCTCTCATAACCCACCTCTAATCAGGCTGGCAATTCTGTTGTCTTGAACTTCCGAATATCTTAGGAATCTGACCATTTCTTGGTCTATCCCCACCTTTGCCTCTCTCGACTATTGTCAAGTCCTAGTAATTGATCTGTCTGCTTAACCCGGGTCCTGATTCAGTCTGTTCTGAACACTAGCCGTGTGATGTCAGTAAAGTGTCGGTTAGATCACGTCTTTTATCTACTCAAAACCCCTCAGTGATTGCCCACAGTACTCAGAGTAAAAGGCACATGGCCCTGCCAGGCCCTATATAATCTCCCGGCCCTGAGGTCTAGGACCCCATCTGCTTCTGCTTTGCTCCCTCTTCTCCAGACTTTGTAGCGTTTTTGTTAGATCTTGAGTAGGCCAGGCAGGCTCCCATCTGCTATCCCCGGTTCCTGTAACCTTTCTCTCCCGAATGTCAACATTGCTTCCTCTCTGATCTGCTTCACGTCTTTGCTCAGGTCATTTTCTCAGTGAGGTCTTCCTAACAACTTCATCTGAAATTGTGACTTCACCCTGTGCATTCTCCACTTTCCCTTCTTCTTTCCTTTTTGCCACGGAAATATTCACCATCTGACGTACTGTATATTTCACTTGTTTGCTTTTTTATCTCCTGGCTTCCCATGAGATCAAGGATATCCTGTCGATTTTGTTCACAGTGCCTAGAATAGAGTCTGGCTTTAATAGATACTCTAGAAATATTTTTTTGAACAATTAGAATTAGAGAAAAATATTCTGGTTCGTCTTACCAGGACTTACCTGTGGGTAGATGTTTGTCAGGTGAAGAAAGGTAGAAAAATTCAAGCTTTCGTAGGAAAATTAGAAATTTGGAAAACTTGGACCCTCCACCGTGAGCTTGACAATACCCTAATACTTCAAAAACTTTTCTGATGAAAGTCGCAGTAAATTTAATGGATGTGATTTCTTGAAACTGTATAATAAAATGTCAGTTTTTGGAAAATTCGCAGAATTCAGTAAACCATTATTTTAAATCATCAATACATAAGGCTACAAAATCATGCATGGATAAAAGATCCATTCAAAATGCAAGACAAACAAAGGCATTTAATGTAACACAGCATGAAAAAGTTCACTAAAATGGTTTCAGACTCCATATGGCAAGTAACATTTAAGAAAGTTCGAGGAGCTTGTTTTAGAGTGTTTTCAAAGGAGAATAGCTACCGGTATCTGAAAGGCTATTAAAACAGAATTCTTTCCAACTGCCTAGCTCTCTGAGACTGGAATTGCTCAAAAGTCTTCAACGAAAAGAACGTAGGGGCCAGCCCGGTGGCGTGATGGTTAAGTGCTCGTGCTCCGCTCCGCTTCAGTGGCCTGAGTGTTCACAGGTTCGGATCACCAACGCACCGCTTGTCAAGCCATGCTGTGGCGGTGTCCCATATAAAGTAGAGGAAGATGGGCACAGATGTTAGCCGAGGGCCAATCTTCCTCAGCAAAAAGAGGAGGATTGGCATGGATGTTAGCCTAGGGCCGATCTTCCTCACAAAAAAAAAGAACATATTGCAATAACTCAAATGCAGGAGCAGATATAGGAATCCAGCTCCCTTCTATTAAGCTACACATCAAATAGATTTTCATAAATGTAAAACATGCCTCTTCTCTCAGTGATCGTTCTTATTTCAGAAAGTAGTAATTTTTTATAGAAATACGTGATCGTTGTTAGAATGTAATGGGCTTATCAACATTTTAAAATTGATTAATAGGGCCGGCCTGTGGCTTAGCGGTTAAGTGCGCGTGCTCCGCTGCTGGCGGCCCGGGTTTGGATCCCGGGCGCGCACCGACGCACCGCTTCTCTGGCCATGCTGAGGCCGTGTCCCACATACAGCAACTAGAAGGATGTGCAACTATGACATACAACTATCTACTGGGGCTTTGGGGGAAAAATAAACAAATAAAAAATTAAAAAAAAAATTTAAAATCGATTAATAGATGTTCTCACTTTAATTTTTCTTGTGTGTGAGGAAAATCAGCCCTGAGCTAACATCCATGCCAATCCTCCTCTTTTTTTTTTTTTTTTCGCTGAGGAAGACTGGCCCTGGGCTAACGTCCATGCCCATCTTCCTCTACTTTATATGGGACACTACCACAGCATGGCCTGACAAGTGGTGCATCAGTGCAAGCCTGGGATCCGAACCCTGGCCGTGGGCAGCAGAGCATGCACACTTAACTGCTGCGCCACAGGGCTGGCCCTAATTTTTTTTTAAGATTGGCCCTGAGCTAACATCTGTTGCCAATCTTCCTCTTTTTTTTTTTTTTCCTTTTTTCTCCCTGAAGCCCCAGTACATAGTTGTATATCCTAGTTCTATGTCCTTCTAGTTCTTCTATGTGGGACACCGCCTCAGCATGGCTTGATGAGCTGTGAATAGGTCTGCGCCCGGGATGCAAACCTAGGAACCCCCGGCCAGGGAAGCAGAGTGCATGATCTTAACCCCTACCCCACCAGGCTGGCCCCTCACTGTAATTTTTAATAAGATAAAACAAAAACTCTTTAGGTATTCATTAAATTTTAAGTGTGTAAGTGGGTTTTGAGGCCAAAATGATTGAGAATGAGTGTTCTGGGGTATTTTCTAGACCAAAAAAATTGTGAAACAATTTTCAAGGTTCTTTTCTTTTTGTGATCCAGTCCTCAGTCACAAAGTTGAGTTAATTATGTTCCTCAAGTTTGACGTTCTGGTATAGATCTGAACAAGGCCTCTCTTTTCCTTGGGTTTTATCTCTATCAACATCATTTCCTTAACCACTCCTATTCCTTCCCCACCTTGTCTACAAGCACCCGTCCATTCTAGGGTATTACGTGGCCTTTAGGGTATGTGTCTATTTAGATATATGAGTATCTTTGATAAATACACAGCATTGTTTTGTGTAATGTATTTTATTTAGATTAATTGATCTTTACTGAAGACTTGTTTTTCTCTAATTTTTCATTGAAGTATAACTACATACAGTAAAACATAAATCTTAAGTGTATAGTTTGATTAATTTTTATGTGTACACTGAGTAGGTATATGCATTTTTAATTTACAGAAATAATATTGCCCTGTATATACCTCATTCTACGTCTTCCTTTCTTGACTTAATACTGTATTTTTGAGACCTATCTGTCTTGCTTCTCTGTCATTTTTTCCTCATTATTTTGGTCTTATGCTAAAATTCCATCACGGGCATATGCCACATTTTACTTAGCCATTCTCTAGCGATGGCCCTTGAGGTTGCTTCCACTGTTACTACAAACAGCATTCTGAACAGTATATCATGGAGATCTGGCCGAGAAATGGACTGCAGTGTTGCACTTACTTATGATACTTAATTTTAACAAGCATAGCCTGATTGTCCTACAGATTATCTACAATAAATTACACTCCAACCAGCTCTTTGAAAAGGTTCTGATCTTCCCACCCCACCCCCATCATTGCAAGCATCTGACTTTTATCTGATTTTCTAGCTTTTGAGCAGAAGGTTTTGATTATGATGTCTTTAGTTCCAGCAATTTTTCCCATTGTGGCTTTTCGTATCTTATTTAAGTAACCCTTTTCTATCTCGGTGTGACATAGGTTTTCTTGTACATTATCTTTCATTTATTTTTACCTTTCACATGTTTTTAGTTTGTTTGGCATTTATTTTATGTACTGTACATTGTGTGACCCAACTTCATTTTTCTTCATATAGTAATCCATTTTCTTTGCCCAAGACTAGCGTTTCTCACTGATTTTGGAGGCTTTTGCTATCCCAATTCTCACATAAACAAGGCCTGTTTCTTGGCTTTCTGTTGAGTTCCATTTGTCTGTTTCTGCATCAGTAAGACAGGAAAAATTTTTTTTAATATTCTATTGTTTTATCTGGGTGAGTAAATCTATCATCCTGATCCTTCTTTAACAAAATATCTGATCTACTTTGTGGGCTTTTTTTCTCTCTGTACATTTTAGGTTTCCCTCAAACTAGTATCGGAGAAGCGAGTCCAAAAACATACCCGTAGTCTAATCATGAGAAAAACATCGGATAAAACCCAATGAAGTTCTACAAAATCCCTGCCCAGCCCTCCTCAAAACTCTCAAGGTCTTAAAAGACAAAGAAGGTCTGAGAAACTGTCAGAGCCAAAAGGAGCCTAAGGAGACATGATGACCAAATGTAATATGGTACCCTGGATAGGACCCTAGAACAGAAAAAGGGTATCAGATAAAAACTAAATAAAAATCTGAATAAAGTATGGACTTTAGTTACTAATAATGTACCAATATTGATTCATTAGTTGTGACAAATGTACCATACTAATATAAGATGTTAATAATAGAGGAAAATAGGAGTGTGGAATATATGGGAAGTCCCCATACTATCTTTGTAACTTCTGTAAATCTAAAAACATTCTAAAATAATGTTTACTTTAAAGATCTTGTTGGTATTTTTGTTTGGAAATTGCAGTTCCCTGGTGGGGGACATTTAAAATGTTCACTACCACCAACCGTATGGCAGTGAAGATCCGTTTGCATTACCCACATGCACATGGGTCAGTTCATCTAGGGTATAGATTTAGGAGGGGAATTACCAAGCTGTGCCAAACCCTGTGCCCTGGAGTCGGAGATGAACTGGATTTTGACGCTGCTCTCAGGAGGCTGTAACTTATTGGGCTAAAACATGGCTCCTGGGTTGAAGACAGAGATCTTTCTCAGTTTTGATCTCTTTGCTTCTTTCCTTTCTTATCTTTCATCTTTCTTTAGTTCTTATTCATCTCCTCCTCCTCTTTGCCCAGCCTCAACCTACCAGTGTCTCAGGAAGCCCTAATTTTCTTATCCCCTCCCCCATGCCCTAGGGAGTTGGTCTGGGTTAGTTAAAAGTCATTGTATATCTACTTCAGGGCTTAGGGTTCCCTTTAAGCTTTTTTACTCTGTAGGAATTTTCCTGCTAAGAGTGGATCCAGTCAAGGACCTGTGAGCTGAGAATAATGTAAGTGAAGGTATAAGACCAGCGGGTTCCTACAAGGGTTTTTAACCTAAGGCCAACCCCAGAGCAAATCACTTTGCCATTAGAAAAATTCCATCAGAAAACAAATTCCATCACAGACTATTTGGAACTTCTCTCCAAGCCATCATTTCTCTTAGTTTCTGAATAAATATTTTGATTGGTTTGGTGTGGGTGAAGTTACTGCGCAGTGTTTTGGGGTTTTTTTTTCATCATTTTTTTGCCAGAGGTTTATTCAATAACTAACAACTGTTTGTGAGTAGATATTGTGTCATCCACAAGTGTGCAGGGCCCTGGGCTTAGAGGGGCCCTGGGCTTGGTTTAATGCTCTACTATTGCTATCATGAAATTTTTAACAAATTTTTTGAAAAAGGGGCTCAGCATTTTTATTGGAAGATAATTTATTGGAACATTTGCACTGGACCCCACAAATCATGTAGCTAGTCCCAATTATATTCACTAGGAATTCCAGAGTGAACAAGACAAACAAGAATGTCTTGTGGAGCTTCATTCCAGAGGGGGAAAACGCAGAGACAAGTAAACGCATGGAAGATGATTTCAGACGGACATAAGACCAGCAAAGGAAATAAGACAGGGTGAAGTGAGAGTGTGGCATGGGGTGTGGGTGACCTTAGACTGGAGGGTCAGGGTCTCCCCGGACCAGACTCTGAGAAGACAGTGCTCAAGCTGAGACCTGAGTCACGTAAAGGAGCGAGCTAGTCCATCATCATGGGAAGAGCATTGCAGGAAGAGAGGGACAAGTACCAAGCTCCGGAGTAGGAAGTAGTCGGCCTGGTTGGGGGACAGAGAGAAGTTAGGTGTGGTGGCTGGACTACACGCTTATTCCAGGATGTAAAGCCAAGTGGGTCATTATATGTGATGAGGTCAAAGATAGAGGCAAGAACCTGATCGACACGGTAAGATTCGAGAGGAATTATGGGTGATGTTAAAGTTAATCTTCCCCTTTCTATTGAAGCACAATAGACCAGTGGGTAGTGGACTGGGATGCAATTGCAGATTTAGGCTTTCAGGAGGGACAAACAAAAAAGCATCCTCATGGTCTGGGAATCCAAATGAATTCTTTATTTATTTATTATTTTGTGAGGCAGATCAGCTCTGAGCTAACATCCATGCCAATCCTCCTCTTTTTGCTGAGGAAGACTGGCCCTGGGCTAACGTCCGTGCCCATCTTCCTCCACTTTATATGGGACACCGCCACAGCATGGCCTGACAAGCAGTGCATCGGTGTGTGCACAGGATCCGAACCCAGGCCGCCAGCAGTGGAGCGCACGCGCACTTAACCACTACACCACGGAGCCGGCCCCTGAATTCTTTATTTTGCTGAAGGAGTGTAATGGGTAGCCACGCTTGGAGTTTACTGGATCCTCCAAAATATGGAGTTTTGACTTTTCAGAGAGTGACCTCAGAAATATTGCACAACTGTACCAGAGATAGAAAAGAAGTAGGATTCAATTTGTTCTTTCCTGTGAGGTGCAAATCAGTGCAACTCAGCGTGTCCAAGTCTCCTCTTCCTATGAATACAGCTGTTGTGCTTCCAACTGAACCTCCAGCATCCCCGGTAACTTCTTATCTCAGGTCACTGAGTCTAATTCTGTTTCAAAATCGTACTTTGCAAAACAAATGCCCAGACTTTCCAGATTTGGCTATTTCAAGGAGGTGTCCCATATCTAAAATCATGTAAGGTAGTATTTATTCCCTACTTGAAGATTCTACTGAAAGTATGCAATTTCTTTTTCATTTGTTTTTATTCTCCTCATAGTGTTTTAAAAAATATTTTGGAAACTGATCCCGTTTATCTGCTACTGAGGGCAATGGACCCCAAAATGAATCAATATCTTCCTAGGAATTTTAACCAGAAAAACTAAGAGAGGCTTACTCGTCCCTGTAGCACATGCTCTTCATTTCTTTTTTCTTTTCTTTTTTTTTTTTTTGTGAGGAAGATCAGCCCTGAGCTAACAGCCATGCCAATCCTCCTCTTTTTGTTGAGGAAGACCGGCCTTGAGCTAACATCTACTGCCAATCCTCCTCCTTTGTTTCCCTTTTTCTCCCCAAAGCCCCAGTAGATAGTTGTATGTCATAGGTGCACATCCTTCTAGTTGCTGTATGCGGGACACGGCCTCAGCATGGTCCCACAAGCAGTGTGTCCGTGGGTGCCCGGGATCGGAACCTGGGCCGCCAGTAGCGGAGTGTGCGCACTTAACCGCTAAGCCACGGGGCCGGCCCTTGTATTGTTCTTGATCTGAATGAGCAGAACACATCATTTGTTCATGGTCTTTGAAAACAGAAGCTCTTGACGCCCCAGTCACGGCATTCAGATCAGCTGGAGAAGATGAAGAATCACCCTTGTGTGTTTAAGGGCTTCGTAATTGTAGGAGAGCTCTTTCCTGGTGGGTTCTGGCGGATTCCAAACAAGCAAAAGGAATGAGAGACAAGCTTGAATCTGAAGTTTGAACGTATAAACTGGCCTGTTAAATGCTTCCTCTCTCCTAATCTCTCCACAGAGACCACAGCGACAAATCGTAGACGCAGCCGTGCCAAATTCACGGAAGATCAATTGAAAATCCTCGTCAACGCATTCAACCAAAAACCTTACCCAGGTTACGCTACCAAAAAAAGACTTGCTTCAGAAATCAACACTGAAGAGTCTAGAATCCAGGTAATTTACAAAGTCTATATCTCCAAGACTAGAATTAGAAAGGGAAACCATTAATTGAGCACATATTATGCACCAGTGTGCTAAGGGCTTTGTGTGGAGTATCCTGACGCTCAGAGTGAACTCATGAGGACGTTCCTCTTAGTCACATTTCACAAATGTGGCCACTGAGGATGAAAGAGCTCAAAGGAATGAGGAGGAAGCGTGTAGATACACTTTCAGAGAAGAGGAAATGCTTGAGCTGCTTCTCAAATGCATAATTTGCAGCATCTATTTATTAACTTAAAAAAATTGTTATAGAAAGTCATGTTGGGACCAGATTATAAAGGTGCTAAATGCCAAGACTTGGCCTAAGACTTAGTTGAATGTGACAGATATGTGTAATAAACCTGAGCTTCGGCCTAATAAGAATCACTCCCTTTGGAGAAAGGCAGTGACGAGGCTGAGATGACGTTAACATATTTAATTCCCTCATTTTCTTTTCTTCGCTTAGATTTGGTTTCAGAATCGAAGAGCTAGGCACCGATTCCAGAAAAGATCAGAACCTGAGGAGGACTTAAAATCAAGCCAAGATGAAGATCACCCTGAAGAAAAGATTCGAAGTAAATAGCCTGCTCCAGTCTTGTTCCCCAGCAGAGCCTCTTGGGTACCCAAGAGCCTCTATCGTGGAACCAACTACTACTCTGAGTGGGAAAAGAATGTTCTCTCTCTCAGGGGCTCCTGTTCAGGGTCTTCAGGTGGCAAAGGGTTCAACATGGCCCTTGGAAATTCTTCCCCCCATGGTCTGTGGACCTTCTGAGACCTTCCCCTGCTTACCCTATTTCCATGGGAGTCCAGCAACCCAGCCATATACTGTGTCTCCTCTAGAACCTTCCACCTTGAATGGGCCGAGACAAGGCCCTTTCAAGGAAAAGCAACAGGTTCCAAATTTGGTGGAGACTGTGGGACATGTTTGGGTTCCTTGTTTGAATGTGTAAACTGATCTCCGAAATGTACTTGACCCCTCAGTCTCACACCTGTCCTAGGTAGAGAAGACAGACGGTGCCGTACCAGCTACACTTCCTCCCAGTTACACACCCTCATCGAGGCATTTATGAAAAACCCATATCCTGGGATTGATTCCAGAGAGCAACTTGCTAAAGAAATTGGAGTTCCAGAGTCGAGAGTCCAAGTAAGTGATGAGGAATTTGTTCCATCTTCTAGGGATGGAGAAGTGTGGGAAGGGAAGCCATGCCAGTCTTGAGCTGTTCATCAGCAGGCCAGGCACATTCCACTCCAGGGCCTTCTCTCTCCGTCTGTAGGTTCTGCCCCCAGATACCCACGTGGCCCGCTCTCTCACACCTCCTTCAGTTCTTTCTGTTATAATTGATGTCATATTCCTTGTGCTCTGAACAGTGCCTGACACATGACACTTAATAAAACTCTGTTGAATGAATGAAAGAAGGAATGTCACTTTACACTGAATATGGCCAGGCATTTTGTCTAACATCCTTATAACTGTCATGTCCTTCAGCCTTTCTGATTCTCCCATGAGGCTGGAATTATTATGTCCACTTTAGAGATTTAACATTTATCTTAGAGAAATATAGGATCCTGATGAATCCTAAAATGGAATGTAATTCTGTCAGAGTGGTGTGGTGTTTGTGTGTTTGTGTGTGTATGTGTATTTATTTATTTATTTGAGGAAGATTGGCCCTGCACTAACATCTGTGGCCAATCTTCCTGTTTTTTCTCCCCCAAGCCGCAGTACATAGTTGTGTATCATAGTTGTAGAGTTGTAGCTCTCCTATATGGGAGGCTGCCACAGGATGGTTTGATGAGCAGTGAGTAGGTCTGCGCCCAGGATCCGAACTGGCGAACCTGGGGCCACCTAGCGGAATGTGCAAACTCAACCACTACACCACCGGGCTGGCCCCCATGTATGTGTGTTTAAACCAGTGCTCCCTCCTGTTACTAGGAAATTAATACACATCAGCTGGTCTGACACACCTTTCCCTTTCCCTCTCCTCTCTTCCTTTCTCTTTCTCTTTCTTCTTTCATATTGCATTCATACCAAGCACCTACTGTGTGCTAGGAACTGTACTACATAGGGATGTATTCACAGAGAGGAACAGAAGTAGCTCAGAAAATAACAAGAGAGATGGGCGAAAAACTAACAATTTCTATAGTGTGATTATATGTCACACAACAGTCACCTCCTAGACAAAGATGAGTGAATGGATGGTTGTGTTTGGTGTAAACAGGGAAGCAGATGTATCTGGTCAGAAATAGTTTCACAGAGGAAAACTTGAGCTGGGGCTTGCAAAACAAATGGAAGTTCCCTGGGGGAAGACCGGAATAGAGGGCGTTAAGGGCGGCATTTGTGGCAGACTGCCATCCTAAGAGCAGTCCTATGGATACAGAAAATTGTAAATTTGTCCATAGGCTGGAGAACTAGGGTAACATAGGGATACTGATGGAGGCCTCACGCCTGGAGCAGTTGTGACCAATTGATTGAAGACCTTATGTTCAGGTTGTGAATACGCCATCTTCCATTAGCCTGTGAGCTGTGAGATGGGGCTCATATCTGATTAATACCTGTGTGCCAAACAGTGAGCAGAGGTGCTGAAGTGGATTAGACACATGGCAAATGCTTGCTAGAGGAATTTATGTTTTCTCCTTTGGGTGGTGGAGACGTGCTGAAAAGGTTAAGGCAGAGGAGAGAACATGCTATAGTTGCGCTTTAAAATAGCTGCTCTTCCTCAGAGTGAAGAATAGGTTCCGTTCTGGAGACAGGAAATAAGTTAGGCAATGGGTGAAAAGTCATAAAGAGGAGGATGAGACTTGGAAATGAGTTCTGTTTAAGAAACAACATGGACATAGATTGATAGTATATATAGGGATGGGGGTGGAGGACAGGGATGAGAGAGAGAGACGAGACTACCAGGAAGATATGCTGGGTTTAGTTGGATGGCTGGCTGACATTGGTGTTATACATGAGGAGGACTGGGTTCCAGGAGAATGAAAGGAGTTCCACGGGGTTGGAGATGTCCGCCTGAGACATTCAGAATAGATATTTAAGAGGCAGCTTCCATGAGACTCCAAAGCTCTGGGGAGAGGGTTGGGTAGAAGACAATGTGCCACAGTGAAGGCTGGGAGACTTTACAGAGAAGATGGATTTAAATGGCAGACTGACTCTTGAGTAAATTGTTTGGTGTGATTCTGGAAGAAGGAGAAATATGAGTTGGGAGAGAGAGAAACAGAAGTCAGTGGTCAAACAAGAACCCAGTCACGTCCTAGTGTAGCTGACCCCATATCCTTTGGGCTAGTTTTCTCCTCAGAATTCAAAGCTGAACATATTTTTTCCTTATGAAATCAAGATATTGGTGGGTGCATAAATATGAGAAATCTCTGAATGCCTTCCTGAACAGGGGACTAATGCTCACAGATACCATAAGCAGGTCAGATGGAAAAAGAGATTTCTGGTTCAGATGTAGAAACTATATCCAGGGCTACATATGTGCAGCTCTTCCAAAACAATCAATCATTCGTCTGGAGAGTGGCATTTGCCTTTAGGAAGGAGGTGAAAGTCTCAGTGATATTATATGACTTTGCCAAAGTCTGGCTTTTGGACTCCAGACCTGTGCTTATTTTACTTGCAGCTTCTGTGAAAATCAAATGTGGTAGCTGTAGGGACCCGGCCCTGTGGCGTAGCGGTGAAGTGCGCGCTCCGCTGCTGGCGGCCCGGGTTCGGATCCCGGGCGCGCACTGACGCACCGCTTGTCAGGCCGTGCTGTGGTGGCGTCCCACATAAAGTGGAGGAAGATGGGCATGGGTGTTAGCTCAGGGCTGATCTTCCTCACACACACACACAAAAGTAGCAGCTGTGGAAGACGAGGGTGTGTGTGTGGGTAATATATAAATAGATGACTGTTCATAAAATTATATTATTGGAAATCATATTATGATTACATGTATAGGTAATATACATGTCTAATATACGTATATGTGTATAATTTATGGGCACAAGCAAGGGATAGCAATTAATTGTCTTGTGAGATAAAAAAATGTCTTTTAGACAGATAGTACTCTGTCTGGAGTCATGGGAGAAGAGTAGGGATTCTTGAGAGGAAGAAAAAAAGATGGAAAGAGAATTCCAGGCAGAGAGGAGCTGCAATATATAGGAGTGGCACTTTAGGGAAAGATCAGCCCTTGTAATGAGAGGATTCTGGCAACTTTCAGGACATGAAGCCCGTCCCTAGATCACAAAGGTACCGGGTTCAAGGTTCAGAATTTTGAGCTTTATCTTCAAACCTGATAGACTTCTCTAGATGTCATATGGAATGTCAATAATGATTTTGGAATTAGGCCTAAAATGAACCACCTCTCCCTCCCCTTTGCCTTATGAAAAAAGCAAGGGTGAGGCTTACATGATATCAGTTGTTTTAATCAAATCTCTTTGTTTTACTCACTCAGATTTGGTTTCAAAATCGAAGATCTAGATTCCATGTCCAGAGAAAAAGAGAACCTGATGAGGCCTTAGAACAGAGACAAGACCAGGGACAAGATCCCTGAGGTGAGAGAGTTTTAGGTAATCAGCCTGTTGTTCCCAATTTGGCTCACAGGCAGAGCCTCCTGAGTGCCCAGTCCACCCACATGGTGGAGTCAACTCCAACTTCCTCTTGGGAGGGATGGGTGGAAGATATTCCTACTCAAGTGCCTTATTGGCTCCATGAAGTCCAGATTGGTCACAGTCCCTGAAGACTCTTCCCAAATCTGTTTCTCCCAAGGAATTCCACTGCCTACTTTTCCAGCCAGAACCCAGAAACCCCGTTAGAATGTGAATTTTGTTCACCCAGGTCTTCTCAGCCCCTGGTAAACAATCAATAAACTTTTGTGGAAGGCATGTTTGAGTTAATGGAGGGATGAATCCTCAGGTGTTCTGCCAGGGGCTGGCTAATGCATGGTTTTCCCAGGAGGTAGTAAGTTCCATATTGGACTGGAGAGGTGGGATAGAGTTGACTCCCATGTTTATGTATATAAACTGGCTTCTTCCATTTTTCTTTCCCCTTATCTTTTCTCCTTAGGTATAGGAACTAAACAAAATGGCACCAATCTCACTATCGACTGTCTTATTTCTCCAGAGATAGAACAAGGTGGACAGAGAGACAAATTCAGAGTATTTGATGTCATCAGCCTAGGCTCCAAATATTTCACTCTTCCTGGTTACATACCCTTCTAAACATACCTTCAGCTTCTCCAGAAGCTAGAGATGGTAAACAGGACTTCAGGAGGCAGAGACAGATGCAAGGCACCACATGGCTCTACTGACTGAGCCTGGCTCCAGATTTCAGCAGATTTCAAGGACAATGAAAATAAACTTATTAATACCATTTTTCAGTTATCATAGTAATGACCGATTCAGGCAAAAATCATCAATGGATGTGTGATATTGTGATTTATAATAAATATATATTTGGTCTTCATCGCTATCTCTGGCACTGAGTTCCTAAAGCGCTTGGAATTTCAATTGTGCCCTTGTAATGAAGCTTCCATAAAAACCCAGTATGATGGGCTTCAGAGAGGTTCTGGGTTGGTGAACACATGGAGGTTTGAGGAGAGAAGAGTGGTGCACATGGCGAGGGCATGGAAGCTCTGCACTCCTTCCCACATACTGTTACCAAACCAGGCTGGTTTTGCCTGCTGCATAGCAGGCCAGTCACCAAAATGACGAGTTTTGCAGCAGAGAAAAGGTTTATCCATGAGGCAGCCAAGCAAGGAGATGAGAGAACAAGTCTCCAATGTGCCTCCCTGAAAATGGGGATTAGGGATATTTATGGGCTAAAGGGGCAGGGTCGTCTGAAGTGTGGAGGTAGATGATTGGAGGTGAGGAGAAGTGAGGTAATAGATGATCTGTGCAAGTGAGTCAAGCTTCATGGCTCTTCATAGGACACATGTTCACAAAATGGTGGCATTAGCATGATCTGAGGGTGGAGTTTTCAGCCCCCTGACATCAAAGAGTCACCTATTGGGTATTCTTGCTGGCCCACTTGATGAGTCGGTGGTCTTAACTGGCCATAACTGGACAAGGAGTCAACTCTCAGTTCCTGAAAAACTTAAACACTTGTTACCATGGTGACCCCATAGAGATGTTATCTATAGGGTGGGGTTGAGTAATGCATTATCTAACTACTTTTGCAAACAGACAACTAACTGAGTCTAGTTAAAGCAAGTGGGCCCTCGGTTTCAATACCTTGACCTGTGTATTTCTTCATCTGGCTGTGGATTCATACCCTTTAATATCCTTTGTAATAAATCAGTAATCTAGCGAGTAAATGGGTTTCCCGAGTTCTGTGAGCTGCTCTAGGACATTTTAGGATATGCAAATTAATCAAACCCAAGGAGCAGGTTGTATAAACCTCTGATTTATAGCCAGGCAGCAGTACAGGTAACAACCTGGAATTGAGATTGGCATCTTAAGCGGAGGGCAGACTTAGGACTGAGCCCTTAACCTGTGGAATCTGATGCTATCTCCAGGTGGATAGTGTCAGAGTTAGGTTGAATTGTAGGACACCCAGCTGGTGAACTGAGTGTTGTTTGGTGGCGTGGGGAGAAAACCACCCACTTCACACATTTTTTTGTGTGTGTGTGAGGAAGATCAGCCCTGAGCTAACATCCATGACAATCTTCCTTTTTTGCTGAGGAAGACTGGCCCTGTGCTCATCTTCCTCCACTTTATAAAGGACACCGCCACAGCATGGCCTGACAAGCGGTGCATGGGTGTGCACCCAGGATCCGAACCAGGGCCGCCAGCAGCGGAGTGTGTGCACTTAACCACTACGTCACAGGGCTGGCCCCTTCACACTGAAATTGGGTCCAGAACCCAAATAATGTTAAAAGCTTTAAGTAATGAAGAATAAGATATACCTCTCATTTCAAAGACTCTCCCCACAGATTATTTATTAACTACAAAAGGAAAATTGGTAATTTTGCAGTGGAGAAAGCTGGTCAGCTCCACCTTAATTGAGTGGCCCAAATTCACTTAATCAGTAAAGGCACAAACCAACACGAGGTGCCTCATCAGCAGAAGCTGAATAATATTCACTTGTGAATATTCAAATATTCACATTTGATTATTCATTCATCTATCGATGGACACTGGGTTGCTTTCATCTTTGGGCTATTGTGAATAATGCTGCTATGAACACAGGTGCACAAATATCTGTTTGAGAAATTGTTTTCAATTTTTTAAATATATACACTCAGAATTGGAATTGCTAGACTATATGGTAAGGAATTTAAAAAATAAATGGATATTATGAAGCAGAATATTCTAAAAAGTAAATAATGTGGCCAAATAAGGATTTCTCCAAGGAATGTGGTAAAGTATTTAATATTTTAACATTTCTTATCCAATTAATAAAGTTACATTTTATAAAAATTTTAAAAATCCATATTATAAATATTATATGACCTATATAATCTAATCTATTATATAATAGATGGAAAACCTGTAAATTTATATATATAAATATATATACACACATATGAAGACATATATGACATATATACTTTATTTTTAAATGAGATCATATTCTAGATCAGTACTATCCAACAGAAATTTCTGTGCTGACGGAAATGTTCTATATTGGTGCTGTCCAATATAGTATCCACAAGCCACAGTTGACTACTGAGCGCTAGAAATGTGGCTAGTGTGACAGAGGAACTGAATTTTTAATTTAATTTATTTTCATTTAAATGTATATAGTCACATGTGGCTAGTGGCTACCCTGTTGAACAACACAGATCCAGGAAGCATTTTGTGAACCATTTCATTCAAGATGACATTGGCAGCATCTTTCCAATATGATGAATGTGCTCCTCAAACACTGGTATCTATTTGATGGCATTAATAGGTTAAAAAGTATAACTTAAAACTATGTCTTAATCACAGCAGAACCAAAATTACAAGGATACATTTTAAGAGAATGCACATGGCCCAAATGAAGAAACTTAAAATAATCGCACTAAGACACTTGAAACGTAAATAAGAGTAACAGTGGTCTAAGAATTAAACCCAGAAATTAGAAAAAGAACAAACTAACGCAAAAGCATGAATACTCAGGAAGACAGAAGTAACAGGTGGTTTGGGGGCAAGGGCTCCCTAAAATATTGAGTCAGCAAGACATTTCTGCCGAGGCGATATTTTGAGCCAACAGTTACAAGAGAAGAATGAATGAATTGTGTAAGGATCTGGAGGAAAAGGTTTCCAGATAAGGAGTAAGTTCAAGAGTCCTGATGTGGGAAATGAGCAAAATATCCGAGGACCAGAAGAGAGACTGATACGATGCTGGTGAGGAAGGTGCCGCTGAGCGCTGTGGGGGTGGGGTGGCGGGAGAGGCAGGACCTATGTATGCAGCCCTTTTCGGGAATTTGAGTTTAATTCTAACAGAAAAGGAAAACATTGAGCCATTGAAGGGTTTATAATCTGCCTAATGTTCAAAAGGGCATTATTTTGGAGAATAAACAGCGCAAGTTCGTGTTAGGAGGCTCCTGGAAGAGAAGCGGGGCTTGGACACTACAGGGTTCAGGTGAACCCTGAAGCCTGTGGAATGTCCCGTCCACCTCCTTTGCTGTGAAACCTCTGAATCTGTCTATGGGGCAGCAGCTTTTAAGGTAAAGATAATATTGAATATAGACAATTACTTTGTGCCGGGCACCCTTCTGAGTTCTGTATGTATATTAAACCATCTGATCCTACAACCTCTCCTCCCCTCATAGAGATTTTCACAGATGAGGCAACTGAGTGACTGTCATTCGCCTGTGGTCCCACAGCTAGTGGAGCAGGTGTGCGGCTCTGGAGTTTGCTGGTTTGACCACTAACCACCCAGCTTCTCACAGCGTCGTGGAGATTTCAGAGGAGTCTTCAGTTCAGTCTTCAGTTCAGAGGAGAGGTCAGTGCCAGAGGGGTATCAATTTGAGGGCCACAAGCTTACCTAAGGCATAAGCCATAGCATAATATTGTAAGGAGATGCATGGGGAGGTGCCTTGATCATATTTTTAGAGTGTTAGGTTGTAATTACTTTTCAAGTTATTTTTATTTAAGAAAGATGCTTTTACTGGATTCCAGTTCTGGGGACAGCACCTACAGTTTGAGACACCATGATCACTTTTTAGGGAGTGCACTGGAGTTAGCAGAAGTATATCTAAGTGACTTTCCAGACAGACAATAAACCAGCATGTGATGCTTCTATGTGCTGGGGACCAGCTCAATTCTATCAGCATTTTTACTGTTTAAACTCCTCTGAAGTTATTGTTCTTACTATGTGGAGATAAGAGTGATGCTGCCAAATTAGATGACGAGACTGTAAAGCGCAGATTGGAACATCTCCGCAGGCTCTACTGCCATTTATTTTTCAAACCATTGAATCTTAAGAAACCCTCTCCACTAATACTAATACTAGGCCTTCATCCTAGTACTTTTGTAGGATGATAAAGCACCTTTCCCATAGCAATCCTTGCCTTTGGCATGGTTAGGGAAAAAAAGAATGATGTAAATCGTCCCTTTCATTCTA